GTGAATTCTAAAGAGATGGCTAAGATGAAAACAAATGTGCTCTTTAAGTTTAGCTATCTCCCTTAAAATTTGCTTATCTTGCTCAGATTCCTATCTGAGTAGGTATAGTTTGAAGGGCAGTGGAAAATTTCTGTATATGGCAATTACCATTCAATATTAATAGAAGGTGTTGAACTAAAGTCCTAAGCAATGAATCCAGAGGGAATACAAATTCTTCCTTCAAAATCTACTCTGCATTCTTCCACTATGCATTGGTGCACTTATACTTGTACAATTTAACATTTGCTTTTAACAAAATTAAAGCTGGCATTTGACTGCACAGGGAATTGTAACTGGAAACCTAGCTAAATTATTATTACACATTCCTAAACAGGTGGGTAACAATAAAGTCTTAAGTGTTACTGCTTCCAGAGACACAAGTCTTGGAAAAAGCCCTTTAAGCATGTCAGACCAGTTTTTATATGCTCTTGTGCTTTATTTTTAGAGCAGAATTTGTTGTTGCATATCTTCTCACGGGCAGATATTTTTTGTGTGTGTGTCCAGCAAGACATTCTGCCCTTTATTTCCATCCAACCACGAAGGTCACTGTGCCATCAAACATACAGACAGAACTCGTTAGAGGGATGGTTTGGGTCTCTTGTGATGTGAAATGGCACTTTCATACCCACCAGCCTGCACCTGGTCTCTCACTGCATCACTGGGTTGTAGCAGTCCCTTACATTAGGAAAAATTCAGTCTTGGCCTCCCTCTCTGCATTAATTTGAATCTTCAAATTAATCCAGAGTTTAAAATAATTCAAACTACTTAAGGTTTTCAACTAAAGATTTTAAGTTTCCCAAGCCCATTACTTTATTTACTCTTCAAAAATGTTGGAATCATATTAGAAAAAAAAATTATGTGAATGGCAAGAAGAAATCATTACCCAGGTATATAAGCCTATAAAGCATGAAAATATATCTTAATACAAAATAGAGGGCCTGGTTGTGGCACTCTCTGCATATTTGTCTAACAGACATGTAACAGAGAAATGGTCCAAATGAGCTTAATAAATCTCTTTCTTAAACTCACAAAAGACCACATCCTCACTTCCATAATTCTATTAGAGTCTGCTCCTCTGGAGGAGATAAAAGAAGAGATAACCTCTCCATTCAGAATATAAAATAGCAATTGTTCAACTGATGATTGGAATATTTCCAGTAGAAGGACTTAATTATGGAACAAAATTAGCTCAATCTGACCTTTTCAGAGAATAATGCAAAACTAAGTTTTTTGCAAATGTCTTCCTGGAATAACTGAAATAAGGAATAATTTACTTCCCTCTTTTTACAGGAGCAAAAGGTGGCAGAATATGATAGCAGCGTTCTTGGTGAGATGACAATCCAAGGATAATAATAAGACAGTATGTGCAGAAAGAGATAATATATTTTAATAGACTAGCTGATACAGTTTAAAAACAGAGAAGCTTTCAGACACACAAGACCTTTTCAGTAAGAGCAGGTTTCCCTCAGTGACTCAAAATTGCCAGCTTAGTAAGTAGATGGTGTAATGGTTGTGTCATACGAATGCACCAAAATGTTAGGTATCTATATCCATTACACACTGAAAGCTCCTCTTGGGATAAAGACAAAACATATTGTTCCAATCTCTGCTTTATCTCTGTGATAAATAGGAATAAATACCTGCACCCACAGACCAACAGGGGATGATGCTGTTGTTAAAGCACTTCCCTCAGTTCCATGCATTTATCTGTATTGAGGCACTCCTCGCTAGGGAAAAAAAAAAAAAAAAAGCCACAAACTGGAAAGAAAAACCTCATCTGTTTTATCAGTCCCATCTCTGATTTCATGACATTCTGAATGCTCCTAAGCCATGCTGATACCACTGCATACAAGAAAAAAAGGCATGAACAGGTGGTGATATTAACAGGCTTCTTATGGTTCTGAAAAATGAGATAGAAATGTTTCATGTCATGAAAGTCAACATCAATCATCATCCATCTTGTGCAGATATGGAAATCAGCCAGTGTGGTTCTTGCTGAGGAGGCGTGAGATATTTCTTTTGCATCAGAGCTGTTGCTCTGGACACAAGTCATAATTTGTTTAATATAGATAAATGAGAATATTATAACACTGCCTTCTTTTATTTTATTTTTTTTTTAATAAACTGAAAGCTCCCCCTCCTGGCACATTCCCTGAACTGAATGCAAGGTTCCTGACATCTACTTTAAACAACAGGAGATTCATGAAGGTCCTTTAAAAGTAGTGTATTTATTGTCTCCCAAGGATTTCCCATTTCCTCATCCAGCTATGAGACTTGATATGTCAAAGCCTTTGTCTATAATTTTAATCTGTTGCTTTTCCAGGCAAAGACTTATGGTTTCTACTTTGCTGCATATTATACAAAATTTTTCAGAAAGTTTGAATGTTCACATTTGTGTTCCTTCAGAGTGACCTGTGTAGCTCAGCTATAACCACACCATCTAATTTCCTAATAAATGCCTTGGAATAATTTTGAGAAATCTACTGGATCTCTTTGAAGCAATTCTGCAGCTCTGCTGGGAGCAGATCCTGGCCAGGCTCAGGGAATCTGAAAGCCAGGGAGAGCACAAAAGCAAAGAGGGACACGTTTATGTCACACTTTTGGTAACTGCTGTAGCTGCTCTCATCTCAGTGCTGCCTGTGCTTCGGGGACTGCTGGTGCCTCTAATGCCTTGAATCAGTGCAGTCACTTATGTGCCTAATGTGATGAACTGAATTTCCACAGCCATGCACTTATGCAAAGAAAAGGGAAGATTTTCCCAGCATGTACAGCCACAGGATCCTGTAGTGCCCATAAATTCCTACTTTTTAATTTTGTTACAGTCCCTGGTACCATCCCTCAACTCCAAGCAGGCTGACAAAGGCAGTGACACTGGTTAGGGAGCTTTCATTAGATTTGCCATCATATTCGAAGAAATCGTCTCTCCGTGTCCTTAAAAATTATTTATGGGGAACAACATTTTACTGGAGCATGAAGACAAGAATGAGTGTTCCTGTGCAGGCAGGATTGTGCTGTGCTTTCACACAGCCATGCACACCAACCCTCTGGCCACGCAGAGCAAAGGGAAGGAGCGTGAAGCAGAGTAAAATAACATCATCATAATCTCAACTCAGTGCTGAGCTGTAATAGTAAAGTGAGAAAGGATGAATGAATGAATGAATTATAACTATGTCTTCCTTTCTAGGCCTCTCCTGAATACCAAGGGGGTATTTTCTTCTATAGTAGTGATGTTACTTTGCTTTCTGTGCAGTTAGATAATAAATATGGCAGGTTTCAGTTGTAGAAGAGTGGTTATTTTAAAGTCTAGCATAGAGTAACAATTTACCACAGATACAATGAATGAAGTATGTTTATTAGACTTGGTACATTAGGTCTGCAAGTGGGAGAATTGCTGGCCGGGCACCTTTTGCCACTTTCCTCTTCCCTCTCTGTGGTTACAAAAATCAGGATTGACCTCCACAAACAAAGCTGCTCACCCTAAAAGGAGCAGAGCTCAACTGCTGAGGCAGTGAGGCCAATGAGCTTTCAGTGCCATTTACAGCAAAGAAAAGTTGTTAGTATAAATGTCTCTATTTATATATTTACAGCATCAAATGCAATTTGAAGCCAAATCAGAGTAATAATGAAGTAACAAAGGACACGTTCATTATATCCCTGAATATAGGTGCACACGTGCACCTATCTGTATTCTTGTTAAATCCCTGCTATATAGATGTATATGCACATGTATCTTCTTAGAAATGTCTTAAAAGCTGCTTTTATTGTCATAATGAAAGAGTAGGACTCCTTTGAGAGCCATTTGTCTGCAAAACTACTGTAAACTTCCTTTGAGTAGGCTGTCTGCACTCAAGAGAGTTGAATCAGTAGAACTTTGACGAGACTAGAAGACCCACTGATATCTAATTAACGTGGAAATAATTGTTGTAATCGTTGCATTTCTCTACAAAGCATGTGCTGAAAAGCAGTTACACGATTTAGTGAGCATCAATCAGTTTGATATGCAAATGGAGGTATAGACTACTTCATCATGCTGGTAGTATTTAAACATTTATTTATTAAGCTGAGAAAATTGGAAATGTCAACAAATGGGGTCCAAAAGCAATGTCTTTTATCAACAGAGACTTTCTTCAGAGCTTTTGCTGTACATCAGAAGGCTCTAATGACAAGAGTAACAGCAATGCTAAATGTGAAGGCACTGCTGGGAGTAAAGTGTGGAACAGTCATTCCTGCACCTGACACATTCCAACCCTTTTCCTCCAGGAATAAAAGAGAGCAATTGTAGTGCTCTCCAGATTACCCCTGAGCTCTTACCTTTTTGCTCTTAAGGGGTCATGGAAGTAACCTAAATTGTCTTTATCCATTTAATGTAGATTCAATTAACTCAGGTTAATGACTGTGGGATGGGGCTCAGGGAGTTGAGAGCTGTTCCCATTGTTCAGCCTGGCTTGTCCTGTGACATAAACTTCATTTTTGGGTGGAGAAAAAAGTAAAAGACAATGAGTTGCCAGGACAGGATTAAACAGAGTCTACAGGGAAGTGTAATAATTGCACCTCAGGCACATGTAAAGCTCATGGCTGCATCTGAGTAGAGAAAAACAACATCAAATCATGTACAAAACAACTGCATCTTATATGTTTCATAAACTTTTTCTCTTAAACTCAGTACAATCAACACAAAATCCTTGGGAATGATAAGCTGTGACCTGTTAAGATTTAGATGAGTATTTTTTCTGTATCTTCATCTTTGCTACATATATTTATCATGGCCAAAAGAGTGGATACCAAATATTTTTTATTTCATGAGGAGTGCAAAATTGCAAATTGATCCCGGGGACTGTGGAAAATTACGTAGTTGCAAGATATTTAATGACATACCCTTCTGAAATCTTGCTTGGAAGATTTTAACAGGATCACTCAGAAGAGCCCTCGCTAACCCCTTCTCTTTTCTTTTACTTTAACAGGATTTCTGAGCACTGGGGACCAAGCAGCAAAAGGAAACTATGGCCTCCTTGATCTAATTCAAGCTTTGCGATGGACTAGTGAAAATATTGGGTTCTTTGGTGGTGACCCATTGAGAATTACAGTTTTTGGATCTGGGGCAGGCGGTTCATGCGTCAATCTCTTGACTTTATCCCATTATTCTGAAGGTAACCGTTGGAGCAATTCAACCAAAGGTATTATGCAGGTTGCAAATTTTGACAATTTTGGTGTCTGCATGCCACCACCATTAGTACTATGTGATGTTCTGTATATTCTCTTTGTTTCTATGAACTGTTGAGTTCAGATCAATACTAAGAAACTTTTAAAAGGCTGTACAAGCCTCCTTCTCCCTCAGCTCTTCTATGCATGTTTAAATTTTGGGTCACTTTCTTCTTTTTCCTATGGAGCTTTGTAGAAACACTTTATAGCAGACTTCTGAGAAGCATTTTCTTGGTGCATCATTTTTGTCTCTTTTCTTTCCTACCTAAGGGTGTCTTTTTTGGAAAATCAGTCAGTCATGCTCACAGTAGATGAGGTCATCTATATTCAGACAGTTGTGAAAGGCATGTTTAGTTTCTCCTGAGGAGCAGAATTTAAAGAAAACTAAAATGACACTGTTTCTCCTTTCAAGCTAACAGCTGAATTGCTTAAAACTATTATTTTGTGTGAAGGAAACAAGTAACTAGTTCAGAAATCTTTTGTCTGAAACTGCATGGACTTCACTTGCTGTCATCTAATAAAAGAATGGTTGAATGTTTTGCATGCATGATCCAAAATTGTCAAAGCATCCAAGTTGCAAATGGATTTCCTTCTATATGTTTTTTCCTATTCCATAACTAACACCTTTTCTCTCTAGTTGAGGCAGGCAGCAAGGAATTAAAATCATGCTGTTTGAGGCACCCAACTTATTCTATGATTTTTGCACCACAGTTTCACACAGTGACTCTCATTTGCATGGCTATTGCTTATTGATCATGTTACTTTTGTCTTACTGTTTTCACATATTTTTATCTATATTAGTTTTAGCAGGGACACCACACTGAGCCCTGTGCATATAATCCTCCACTAATTTATATTGCTGTATCTCTATGGGGGACTAATTGGCTGGTCATAAAAACGTAATTCTGCTGACATTAAAAGAACTGCATTTCCCCAAAGTCATGTTACAAAGACCACTGAGGTCAATAGAAGTGAGAGATTCTTTAGACCATGCCATTATGCTTTTTAAAATAAGAGAAAAATACAACTTTTACAAAAAAAGCTAAGTGGAAAATAAGTCTGTGGTCTAAATTTTAGTCTATTTTCACAATTTTGTTTTTTAATATAATCTTTCTTTTTTCTTCCATAACTACCTGAAATTAAATAGGAGATATTTAAAAGGAGATGTTTGTCAGAACAAGATATAAGCATTACCTCACTGCACTGTGACTGGAGGGTCCCAGTGCACCCCCATCTTTTATCAAAACTCTAAAAACCAAATTTATCATCAAGGATTAACTCCAGGTTGAATGAAGACACCTGGTTTATCTTCCCTTAATGCTTCACTTGGTGTTAAAATCAGTCTTCTTGGTGTAACATGACATCAATGCAAAATGCCACATTTACAATATTTGGACGGTCTTGTGTTGACTCTTATCAGCAAATGATACCCTGTCATATCCCAACACATGGCCAGAATTCTGCCAGGAGCAGAATTTGTTTGGGGAAAACTGAGGCACTAAGTTGCCAACACAGCAGATCAAGGCATTTTGAGAGATCTGAAGAAGGTTCAGTAAAAGTAAATTTTTGAGTATTTCTCTTAGAAGCAAACCCATGCTTTGATGAAATTTGGATTAAACAGCTTACCACACTCTCATGTATGTTGTTTCATTTGGAGGTGGTAGATCTTCCATTTAAAAAAGAAAAGGAAAGAAAAAAGAAAATATAAATTGGTCAGGTTCAAATAAGAAAAGTTATTTCTTAAATTTCCAAGCCCCTTTGTGTTTCATGTTGTTTCATATTCACATATGAGAGGTGGAGAAGGACTTTGTACAAGAGCCTGTAGTGATAGGACAAGGAGGAAGGGCTTCAAACTGGCAGAGGGCAGAGTTAGATGGGATATTGGGAAGGAATTCCTGGCTGTGAGGGTGGGCAGGCCCTGGCACAGGGTGCCCAGAGAAGCTGTGGCTGCCCCTGGATCCCTGGCAGTGTCCAAGGCCAGGCTGGATGGGGTTTGGATCAGCCTGGGATAGTGGAAGGTGTCCCTGCCCATGGCAGGGGGTGGAACCGGGTGAGCTTCAAGGTCCCTTCCAACCCAAACCCTTGTAGGATTCTGTGATTCTATGATTATCAACCAGTCTCTTTCATAAGCTATAAATTCAGAAGCTCTCTTAGCTTCTGTCATTTCCCTCTGAAAGATTCCCTTGGCAGTTGAGAGGAAGAATTCTGCCTATTTCAAGATGGAGCTGTTCACAGCCACCCACCTGCAAGTGGGCAGAGCAGCACCCATCTTCACAAAATGCTCTCAAAATATAGATGGATATATGCAAATTATTATTATTTACTGTGGTGAGACATTGAATAAGGGTCACAAAGCACTATGGCCGATTGAACATTTAAATCTTCTTTCCATCTGTCTGAAGCCCATAGCAATAATAATTATACATGTTATCAGACAAAAATGTAGTTCTCCATCCTGTGAGGTACAATTTCTGCCATGAATTCTGTGACAGAATGAAAACAATTTTTCATACAGTTCATTTTTCACCAAATGGTTTGAGTGGAGGAATAGCTCTGTCAGCACTCTTCAGCACAAGGAGGGGATGTTTAGTTTCATTTCCTCAGATGGTTTTATGGCCAAAGGACTTGACCACTTTTACTTAATCCAGCATGTGATGTTTATGTAGCACTTAGCAAGCCACAGTGTTTGTATCAGCATTTTCTCACATGTAGCTTACACTTTCTGTCCTTGTTCAGACATATTTAATAAAGCAATAAAGCTAGATTTACACAATATGCAAAAACCCACAGACATTATGAATTATCATGAAATACATCTTTGTGAAAATTCAGCTTTGTCATTTAGTTACATTTATTACAATGCCTGGATCCTCTGTGGTAATTCTACTGACTTTGAGCTGATTTATACTAGTTCAGTATCTGACCTCATAAACATGCAAATATATTTTAGCTGTTTATAGCTCAAGTTCATTCTTCTTTTTTACTCATATCTTGCAAGAAAATAGTATCTTGGATATTACTTCTCATAAGTTCAAGAAGAGGCTTGAGTTGACACATTTCAGTCTCTACACGACCTAAATTGAAGACTTTTCGATTAGGACCTAATAAAATCTAGAATGATTTAAAAATTCCTGAGAAGCTTGTAAAACGTTTCCTGCCAGCAACAGATTCCAACTTGTTTTCGAGTGTACAGGGTCTGGTGCTGCAATAGAGGCTCTAAAAGCATTTCTCTGATTTGATTTAGAGGCTAGGGAGGTTTTTTATCAATAGAAATATGTTGCTTATCAAAGTAAAAGCCATCTTGTGCATTATTGGAATAAATTTCTGAGGTAAGCTGAATGCCTTGACTCCAGCTCCTCTGGTGGGAGTATCCAGCAATTCATCAAGCATTGGGCCAAAGATTCCTGATGGAATTGAGTGAGGCCAGGTGTCACTTTGCATCCCTAACTCCACCAGAGGTGATGGAATGACTCCAGGTGCCCATCAGCACAAGTAAAACAAAATTTTGACTCATATATCTTAAATCAGCATAACTTTTGAACACTATAGATCATTCTGTATTATGCAGAGTGACCTATAGGAGGTAGGGTCCAGTATAAAATATTTTCCAGTAGTTTGTGCAAAAGGTATGATACTGAAATGAACTTCTTTGAAAATGAAGTTCACAAAAACAGCAGAAAGGCCACCATCACCTAAATATAGTCTAAATACCTATTAAATACAATCTAAATTACCCAAATATAATTTCTGAGCAATATTTTACACAAGATTCAGACTTATAATCTCTTTCAGAACCCAAGGTACTTTCCTCAAATGAGTAGAAAAATGCAAAGGGAGCACAAGAAGTATCAGAACAAGGATGGAGTTCTGATTGCATTAAAGCAAATAGCAAAATAATTGCATTAATTCACTGACTACACTGACTACAATGAGACTATCATCCACAACATGTTTTAAAAATTCTTACAGAAGGGATAGAAAAACATAAATTATAACGTATTTTGTTATTTCTTTGGGTAGAATTCCTGGTCCAGAGTGCTAATTAAATCAAAATAAATTCAAGTTAATTGTACTGAAGTCTTTGGGATTTACTGCAAGTTTATATGCAGCGCCAGATCATTCTCTCTCCCTTAACTGAATACCTGAACATATGTTTAAATCTCTGAATTACAAAGCTGAACAATGTAACATACATAATATCCCTTTTTAGGTAAGTGTGATCAATATAAACCTGCCTTAAAATAGCTCCTTACAAGAAAGGATTTTGACTTAGGCACTTATAAATTTAATAGCTGCCTGGTACCTTCTCATTTATAACTTCAGAATATAAACTTTTGCAGTGATGCACAATGTAAAAGCACTGCACCTTTCAAACTAAGTTTAATCTCAAAGAAAACATTAAAAATTGTAATAGATTTATTTCACTTAGTTGTATGCATGCATGCTGCTGATGGCTTGACCAATACCTAAAACTTCAACCCATTTCAGAGACTTGATGGCTTTTCCTCCAACCTATGAGGTGCTTTAATTTTAAGAATTGTTTTTAACCTGATAGTGTTGTCCTACATAAGGTAATGCCCCTTCTTTTTCTTCCTGTGTTTATTTTGAAAATCTGTTCCTCAGCTGGACTATATTGAGGGAGAATCATTTGCTTCAGCACATGCTGCATTTATTTTATGCACATTACCTGTAGGTACAACAGCAGTCAGATCTCACCACCCCGTACATTTAAGTACTATTAAGATTCAGGTATCTCTTCTGTTAAAGTTTTCTATTGTTTCAAAAACTCTTTTGAATCTTTCAAAGTCTGTGGCTGTTTCAAGGTCGCTTCAGTAGTTTTCAAATATTTCTCCCCACAGGACTTTTTCAAAGAGCAATAGCTCAAAGTGGAACAGCTCTCTCCAGCTGGGCAGTTAGCTTTCAGCCTGCAAAATATGCCAGGATGTTGGCTACAAAAGTTGGTTGCAACATGTCAGACACTGTGGAACTGGTAGAATGTCTACAGAAGAAGCCTTATAGAGAACTTGTGGACCAGGACATCCAACCAGCAAGATACCACATAGCCTTTGGACCTGTAATCGACGGCGATGTGATACCAGACGACCCTCAGATCCTGATGGAACAAGGAGAATTCCTCAACTATGACATCATGCTGGGAGTTAACCAAGGGGAAGGGTTGAAGTTTGTTGAAAACATTGTGGATAGTGAAGATGGCATATCAGCCAGTGATTTTGACTTTGCAGTTTCTAATTTCGTCGATAACTTATATGGATACCCCGAAGGCAAAGACATATTGAGGGAAACCATTAAATTTATGTACACAGACTGGGCAGACAGGCACAACCCCGAGACCAGAAGGAAAACACTGCTGGCTTTGTTTACTGATCACCAGTGGGTTGCACCAGCAGTGGCCACAGCAGATCTTCACTCGAATTTTGGATCGCCTACGTATTTCTATGCCTTCTACCATCATTGCCAGACAGATCAGGTACCTGCGTGGGCAGATGCAGCCCATGGAGATGAGGTTCCTTATGTACTAGGAATCCCCATGATTGGTCCTACTGAGTTATTTCCTTGTAATTTCTCCAAAAATGATGTCATGCTAAGTGCAGTGGTGATGACATACTGGACAAACTTTGCAAAAACTGGGTGAGTACCAGATCATGAATGGTCTTGTATGCAAACTTTGGATGGAATGGGGCTTCCCATTTGTTATCTCCCTTGGGAATTTCTGTACTTGAAGGATGAATGAGAGATTAAGAATTGAATTGGATATTTATGTTTAGTGTAATGTCCCTTGGCTCAGTTACATGTTTTAGTAAAAAGCGGGAAAAATATCTTCTCAGACTTTCTGCAAGGAAATTTTTAAATATACACAAAATTAATTAAGGAAACTGTGGAAAAGTGTAAAACTGAGCATTTAATATATGTGTATAGTTAAAACCAGCTACATTAGTACCTGCCTTTACCCTACCATTGATACTTTCATCTCATGAGACAGGAAATTACATAAATATTGCGTCAAATATACTACAGCTTATTTTGGTAGCACATTTTATCTTAAATTGTCACTTCTGACCATAAAATACGTGACTTTAAACTTGGAAAGTTTTGCCATTTTCATTAATTCTTTTTTTTTCACTGGCATTCAAAAACCTTTGTTACATTTGACCACTTATTTTTGATGATGCATTGCTCTGAGTTGTTCTCTGCCATGATCCTTCTCCTCTGGAAGGCCACAGATGATTCACAGGAACAGAAATGCAGAGTTGTATGAACTTTATGCTGCTAAAACAGACAAGAAAATCTTAATGTTCTCTCACACTGGTCTCTCATAAACATTTGTCCACATCACCACACCCCAGGCAATCTTCCCTCACTGTGAGACCCCAACATTTTGGAGAACCAGGTGAAGTTGCTGAAGTCTGTGTAAAAGAAGGGTTCTTCTGCATAATGCTGTTTCTAATCAAGATTATTAAGGCCTCTAATTTTAGGCAATAGCACTCTGCTCTGTCCAAAGGCAGTCTTAAACGTTTCATATAAAATCTTAATTATGTTAATTTTATAATTCCATTTGAAATGCTTTGTAACATTGGAGATATCTTTTTCTTTTAGTGACCCAAATCAACCAGTGCCGCAAGACACAAAATTCATCCACACAAAACCAAATCGTTTTGAAGAAGTAGCATGGACCAGATATTCTCAGAAAGACCAGCTGTATCTTCACATTGGATTAAAACCACGAGTTAAAGAACACTATAGGGCCAATAAAGTGAACCTTTGGTTGGAGCTGGTACCTCATCTGCACAATCTTAACGACATTTCACAGTATACCTCTACCACAACTAAAGTGCCATCGACTGACAATACTTTCAGACCCACAAGGAAAAATTCTGTTTCAGTTACTTCAGCCTTTCCTACAGCCAAACAAGATGATCCCAAACAACAACCAAGCCCATTTTCAGTGGATCAAAGGGACTACTCAACAGAATTGAGCGTTACCATCGCAGTTGGCGCATCTTTGCTGTTCTTGAACATTTTGGCCTTTGCAGCGTTGTACTACAAAAAGGACAAGCGGAGACATGATGTTCACAGGAGATGTAGCCCACAACGTACCACTACCAATGATCTCACCCATGCACAAGAAGAGGAGATAATGTCCCTCCAAATGAAGCACACTGACTTGGATCATGAATGTGAGTCCATCCATCCACATGAGGTGGTTCTCAGGACCGCCTGTCCCCCAGACTACACGCTAGCTATGAGAAGGTCTCCTGATGATATCCCCTTAATGACACCCAACACCATCACAATGATCCCCAACACTATACCAGGGATTCAGCCCCTACACACATTCAACACATTCACCGGAGGACAGAACAATACTCTGCCCCATCCTCATCCCCACCCCCATTCACACTCAACAACCAGGGTATAGCCAGACAAGACGAAACAAACTTTATTTTTTGATGGATTACAGTAGGTGATATTACTGAAGATTACTTGGCTTTCAACCTACAAGACTCTTACTATTTAAATATGGAGGAATATTATGTGAATATACATATCAAGAACATTTGGGGTTTTGAAAAAAATGAATTGTACATATATGAAATGAACTTAAGAAACAAACAAAAGAAAAGAAAAAAAGAAACAAAAACAAAAAACAAAAAACCCAACTGTTTGCAATTGCTTGAAGCAGTTGTCCTGAATGATACTTTTTCATTCACATTCAAGTATTAATTTTTTGAAGATTTAAGTTACATAATGGAATTAGGCATGTGCAACACAAACAGGAAAGAACTATGACTGAAAATTTTAAAAACCTATAAATATGCACAAGGGACACACTAATGGAATGTCAGATAATTTTCACCAATTTTTATTTGGACCTGTTTTCTTGTGTAGACCATATTTACATATTTGAATAAGTACACAAAGCACCAATGCTGTTAAGGCCTTAGAAAGGGGCTCATGCTGAAATCTGCCAGTCAGAGAAGTTTTACAGCCTGGCAGGTACAACATTATCACTTAAGTGCTGTCAGTATAAAAGTTGTGGGAATAAAGGAAACTGGATATTTTTAGCACGATGTGCATGATAATTTATATGCTTGGTGGCTGTGCTGCTGATTAAGCCGTAATTAAAATTCTTCTCATCCCATTGGAGTTTTTAATAGAAGCTTTCTCCATCAATTGGCACAACCTAAAGAAGTTTTTTAAAGGGGCAAAAGTAATTACATTAAAATATTTAATGGTAGCTTCCAAAAGAGAAGGGATTGCAACAATTCTTAAAGGTATTTATGGCATTCTAGGTATACAGTGGTGGACCCCCACTGATATGAATCCCAGACAAAAAATGTTTACTATTAATGTTCTTTTTCCTTTCCACCTAAACAATTTCTAACTTTGAAATAACTATAACTTTAATGGAATCTCCTTTGATGAAGGATTTATAATTTGCTGTGATTTAGTTACAGAGTATTTTGTTCAAATTGATAAGGTAAAGTGTGTCCAAAAATTTAATTGCAATGACGTTTTGCCATTTCAAAGTGCCCCGATATTATATGCTCTGATTACACCTTTCAGTTTATTGTTTCAACTCATGTTGCATGTTACAAAGTTTACTTATACTACTTTAAGATAATGTTAATTCCCTTTTTGCTATACATTAGCTTTGTCATTCCAATTAATTCTCTAGACCAGATGGCAAGAGTGTAAAAAAAGAGGGTATATGAGAACGGGGAGAGAGCCAACAACTGGAAATTTAAAAATCTGGATACTACATATGTTTGTGTGATTTGAAGTGAATGTTCTAAAATCACAAGAAATTTTTCATTCCCCTGTTGCTTTCCAGTAATTCTATACCATGGTCCTTTCAAAACGTTTGTATATGTAATCAGATGTACATTTATATAAAAGAAATAATTGAGATGGACTTAAGAGCACATCCCTGATAAATACTTTCTCTCTTACCTGTACTATATTTCTATTAGACTAAAGTTATGTGATTTTTTTTTACATTTTTTCAAATTACTAGCAATTTTGATAGTTTGTAAGATAATGCGAAGAACTTTCTCTGACAAACTAACTGCAGTAACAGAAACATTTCTTTTCAGTTACTCTTTTTCAAGAATGAAAGCTTATTACACACAAAAATTGTATACTACTTGATGGAAAATTACTTTGTATTTCTTGGCCATATTACTGGTCACTGAGTGAAATAAAGATAATCTGGATAACGAATATTATTCCAATGTTAAGAGACCTGATCTTTGCTCATTAAAGAGCTAAAATGTTTATTGCTGTTTTGTCATTTTTTAATGAAGTAATGGTAACTGTCTCAAATAAAGAGTAATATCTTAAGACCAGTCTGGTTTTTGAAGACATGAAGGTGCCTTCTACAATTAATAAAACTGCATATTTATGGACCAGCCCCACCACAGCCATTTCTTACAGAAATATTGACATTTTGACTGTCATCACATGTAAATCTCCTCCAGATTTCAGGAATGAGTTTAAAATGCAATATCTACACAAAAAAAAAAACCAACAAAAAAAGGCGAGGAATGGGCCAAATTGAAATAAATCTGCAGTATTCCATGATGGGAAAAAAAAAAATCACCTGGGTTTTATTGGGTGATTGAACTTTTGTTATAAAAGATTGCTGAGAAGTTTAAAGCAGGTTTGCTAACATCAAGCACAGACATTAAAAATTAAGCTGAAACCAAAATAAAGTACTGCAATTTCAGTTATTTTGCTTACCTATTAAAAAAAAAAAAAAAAAAAAAGAAAAGGAAACCATGTACTTAGAACTTCTTACAGTCCCCAGTTTTAAATTAAGGTCTTTGTGTAGAAGCATAAAAAACAGTCTTCAAAATCCAGGGCGGTCTGTGTGCAATTTCTGCCTGATGTGGTTGTGCTTTTAGACTGTGACCTGCCAATGTAAACCAATAAAAAGAATTGTCTGCCATCTGATAATTATTGTTTAATAAGAAGATTGTATTTTGCTATGTTGATGAAACAAAACAAAAAAAAAATACAAAAATATTGATGGCCATAAAACAAAATATTAATGAAATATGATTTTATGTGCTTTTCTTAACTTTATCAAAACCAAAATAACTTTCTACTATAGTTTATTTGTGGCCATATATCTATATATCTCTATATATACAGTATCTGGTAATTGTTTACTTTTATTAGTTACAAAATAAATGATTTAGGTAAACCAAGCATGACACTACACTTTATTTCTGTCAGCCAATAGTATTTAAAATGTGAAAGATGAAGGCAAGGCAACAACACAAATTTTGTCACTCCAGTTTGGAAAACAAAAAGTCCATTCCTGTGATGCAGATACTGTGAATGATATTTTAGTGGCTACTTTATACTGACATTACAGCAGCTGGCTTTCCAAAAGTAAGATGGTGTCCCACGTTTTAACACAACATTTAGAGAGAGTAAGAGATGTTTTAAAGCTGAAATGAAAATATAAGAAATGGTTTCGAAATATCTTCATGTGCTTCATGGAATATAAGTTTGTTCTTTTCAAAATATTTTATCTATTTGATTTGTTTTTCATGGTAGCCTACACAAAAGCAAAACTGAGTGTGATATTTAATTTCTTGTATCATCCTTGGACCAGATTTCCAATAAAATTAGGATATCAGTCAGTCTTTGGAAGTTCAGTAAAAATATAAAGAGCCTGCATTTATTGATTTCACACTTTTGTAAATATGTTTGCAGACCTTTTTAAGAAAATGTATTCTACCATTTTGAGAAAAAAAAATAACAATGGAATCATTGTCTCGTTTATCTATTAAAATTACAGGCAATATAATGTGCTGTGCTGACATTTCTAGGAGAAATAAAACCGATAAAAAACGCTTTTTGCTCAATGGTATCTCAGTTGGTTATACCTGGTATTCTCCACCCACGGGAGACTTGCAAGGCGTGGATGAACTTCCTGGATAAAATCCTCCATAGGAAAATGTAGTTGTTATCTTTGCTGTCTGTACTGAACATGGATTCCTGTGTCACAAGTCTTTAATTATCAGATGTTTTTGTTACTCAAACGCCCTGAAAGCTGGATGAATAGAGGTCTAACAAATAAACATGTTACAGTTTTAAAGACACCACTGCACAGAAGATGCTGGAATTTCTGTTGCCAACTTCACTAGGAGATGAAACAGCTGACTTCATAGGAAGCTGTCAAACATCATGGTATTCCTTTGATGTTTGGAAGTTGTTGCTTTTTCCCTGTGATGTTAGTTTAAAATATTGGCCTTTCCCCCACCTTTTTTTCTAGTATTGAATAGTTACAGATGGTCGCTTTTTAATGTAAGCGAACGTTAGATAATTTAATTATTATTGTGAAAATGTGCTTCCAAATAAATCAAATTAATGGGAAATTCCCTTCAGAGGTTTTGTTATTTTTCATTCAAAGCTCTTGTCAAAATATCTGTTGCCGCAGTTCTGCTTTTTTTTTTTTTCAGTCTGCAAGCTAAGGGACATTCTCCAAATAACATTAAAAATCTCTTTTTTTCTATTTGAAATAATAACACTATAAGATTAAGATGCCCTCCTGAGATTTCCAAGTATATATGAACAATTTGAAACATGGTAAATGGGCTTTTTACTCTAAACATTCTAATTTGATTCCGTTCTGGCACATCAATACATTTGTATGCAGACCAGAAATCAGCAGCATTTGATAAGGGGTTCAAGAGAACTTTGCAGCAGAACCAATGAGTTCATCACCAGCCATGCACAAAGTCCCTTTTCTCTTAGGTTCTGTTCCTGCCACTGTATAATTAATTTCTTATATACAGGTTCAGTAAAATCTTAACTTTTTGAAATGGGAAATTGTTAAACAAGGTAATGAACTTTATCTGGTGGAAAATGTTTAGAAACAAACCTGTCGAGAGTCACCTAGGAGGTGTAGATTTTTATATGCAACCTGGCTTCATTCCTTTATGTTAATATTATAATTCTCAGTAATTTGTACACCTGGGAAACCATCATTTCTGTAATAAGCTTTAGTTTTGAAAAAGAATTTAAGAGCTGTATGTAAATTATGGATTAAAACCTGAGTTTCGTGTCCCTTTGCTACTGGGATGAATGAAAAACCTCATAGAAGTGCAACACATTTGTACAAGCCAATTTTATACAGTCTCTTGAAATTTATTTTGTTTTCATTTGAAGATAAAATTACCATCACAGCCGTAGAAGCCATGTATTTGTCTCAGAAAATGCCTGCTTGTGTATATGTGCATCTGTCTCCCCATGCATACCCACATGCAGCCAATAAAGGAGATTTCAAACCAGGGAATTTTACCTTTTGGCACCATTCAGAGGTGTGGAGGTAAAGCCTGCCCCTCATTCTGCATTCTCCTCTGCCATTGAGCAGCTGATAAGATGATGACAAAGTTTTTATCTCCAGCTGAATTAGTGTTTATCGTGGGACCCCTGGAATCAATGAAGCCCTGACAATTTACACCAGCTATCGATCTGCTTCCGGACCTTTAATGTTCATCATGGCTCATCTCACTGTCCAATTTTGCATATCTTCTCCTGCACAGGAACACCCACTCACAGAAATTATTACAAGTGTAACTATCCTGATTTATGAGCACCACCAGGCTCTAAAACGTGCTTTACAATATGCTTATGGATATTGGCATGTAAGGCCAAAATTCAGGGGGAAAAATATCTTCTGTATTAAAAAAAAAAAAAAAATTGAAATAACGTGAATGCAAAGAAAAGATTAGTACCAGAGTTTGAAGCTTTAGCATGCTGAAGCAATTTTTATGTTAAAATCTATATAGAAAGGAACATTTAGTTCTTCCTGATCCTCAAATCTGTATGTTGACCTACATGTCAAAGACACAATGACACTTTACAGCAGTTGGAAGTCTGCTCTGTTCTGCTCCATTCTGGAAGGGAAGAGACAGACATCTGGGCCACATGTTGCTATAAATTCTGGACAGAAATAGCTGGATATTCTCTGTCATCTGAATTTTCCCCTCTCGATGTCAGCAGGGCCAGGCAACAGCATCTGTGAGCAGAACTTTATAATGATGCCATTAAAAAAAAAAAGAAAAAGATGAAGTTTTTAAGCCTATAGAGCTGCCCATGTGTTTTGCTTTGCAGCTATAAGAGCCAGTAACCTTTTTTCAAATGGAAGTTGATACCACTGGCACTCGGATGTGATAATACCAGAGCTCATTTAACAAGAGGTTGGTGAAAGACTATGAGATTATGATGCTTCAATTGCATTATTAAATATACCAAAAAAACAGGAAAAATTTTCACCTAGTGATTTTGTTCAGTTAGTGAGGAAGTCAGGGAGCCTGACTGGACCTCCTAGGCATGAAGGATAGAAAAGAAAATTTGGGACTGCAAAGCAGTTGTGGGCCAGACCTCGTGCAATACTCTTGATTTATACACTTGATAAATTTTCCCTGGAATAAAATGAGCAGTGGGGCAGAACCTTGTGGCAGGAGGCAATTTGGGAGGGTGAGATGTACAGTGTACCTTTTTCATCCAGGGGTTTGTAGAAACAAATTCAGCAGTGATTTTAAGCAATTAAGACTATATGAAAGTTTCTAGGAATAATCCATGGTTCATCTGACACCACATGCATTTTCAGAAAAAGCTGTGCAATATTTCACTGATTGATGACAAATATATGGTTGTACAGTGTTGGGTTTTTTCTACTTTTCATAAGGTTACTCCTATGTAGTGGTGATATTCAGCTGAACTAATGAATAAATTTTGCTCTTATTTGCATAAAAGTAAGTCTACAACAATGTCATGAAAGTGGAAAGTGAGACCTTCACCATGGTAAAAAACACCCAAAACCAGTCTTGTTCAGCTAGTAGAGATTCTCTTGTTCAATCATGTGCTGATTTTTTCTTTAACATCCATCCATTTGCCATAAATATATTCTTCTCTCCCCAGTTATTAACTGGAATAAGTGTACCCTGCTCTCCACAGATGATGAAGATAACAGGAACCATTGGTTTCCTCTCATGAATCATGACTTCACTGTCCAAGAGCAGAGAATGTAATAGAAGAAAAATAACAAGCCAGGGTGTGGGAGCTGGGATTTGGGTTTTGGGTTTTGGGTTTGTTTTGTTTTTCTTATAGGCTGTTTTGAGTATCTTGATTCTCTGAAGCCTGGCCAGAAGCCAGAAAAAGATACAACCTTAAGTGCTGCAACCAGGAACCTATTTGGGCATTTTCCTTTTGCCTTGTCCAGGAGGAAAAAGCAGGGTTAAATTAATGAAAAGAGACTTCTCTGGAAAAGCACTGCCAGCTGTAGTTCTGAGATACACCACAGAAGCATGGAAACACTCACAAATACTGCTGTGTTTGACAGAAGAAGAAACATTTGTAAAATTTAATACAATACTGATAATAATTATATATCTGAATTTATTTTTTTATACAAGTAATCCTTTTTCA